AGGAGTCTGCATTTCGACAAGCACCTGTAGTGATTCTGAAGCAGGGGGTCTGTGAACCACACTCAGAATTACTGCCCTGGCATTTTGCAGGTTTGAAGTCCCTGAGCATCCTCTGTGTAGTTTCCCAACCCTCTTCTCACCCAAGGTGCTCCTTAGAACTCTGAGGTTTCAAACAGTGCCTTTTCAGAGCATGAGCAAAGGACAGACCACAGGAAAAGCAGCAGGGTTCCCTGCAAGTACCAGCACTGCCACTGAAACACCCAGTTTGGAAAGGACTGCAGAATGATGAGCTAAGCCTTTCCATCTTATGCATGTACCCAAACAGGACAAGGGCCAGCAGCCTCACATACAACTGTGCTCACAGTTGTAGGCAAAGGAAGGTGAACATGTCACTCAGGCTTCCACACTTTTGTGGTCCCTCCATTGGAGATGGCAATAACTTTCCTCTTTGACCTAGTGCCTAGAGATATACTGCCTTATTTGCTCTCTAGCCTAACTTACAAAGGCCAGCTGGTTCTAAGGACCTTCCTGGCAATCGGAAACCACTTGCCTGCTACCTGAACTGGGTATGTAACATTCATCTGTCCCACTTGGAGGAAACACTGACAACCAGACCACCCTGTTTTAATGTGGCGCCTTTCAGATTAAGAGAAATATTTGACCCCGTTATTCTATGACTCCTGTAAAATCCTACAACAGATGCAGAGAAAAATGTAAAGAAATCAATGACATACAAATGAGGCTGAACCTGCCAAGCCCAGAATGTTTTGCAAAGTAATCTTTTTCTTATTAACTTCATATTGACTCAAGAGGAGAAGTAAAAAAATTCACATTTTAAATGATCTATTACTTCCTCAAGATAATAAAAAGTAAATTGAAGATGTAAAAATATGTGGCCCATAATATCTTTTTCCTGCCTTGGAATTGTCCCTTCCACAAAAAAAGGCAGCTTCCATTCAATCCTCCCAGAGGCCCTCCTCCACTAAACCTGGTGTATTTAGCTTTAGATGTGTGACAAAAACTAAAATACATGATGTGACCAGATAGACACGCAGATAGAAATCACTCTGAAAACACAGAATACTGAGAATCTAGCCATGAGTTAGATATGGCTCATCCTTCCACTTTCTTTGGGTCTCTGCTCAGACATCACGTGTTCTCCATGAGGCCCTTTCTGACACACAGGCACAATAACATCCCCACTTCTTCTCTTGACCTGCTTCACTCTGCTTTATTTGCTCTGTTTGCTCGTAGTACCCATCCCCACCTGACATGCTGTATACATCCGTCTCTCTCCCCTGCCAGGTGACTTAAGAGGTGACACCTGATTCACTGCAACCAGCCAGTACTAGAAAGTACCCCATACTCAAGTACAGATGTTTCTCCATTTACAACAGGGTTACATCCTGATAAACCCATTTTAAGTTTAAAATACACTAAGTCAGGGCCAGGTGTGGTGGCTCGTGCCTGTAATCCCAGCACTTTGGGAGGCCGAGGTGGGTGGATCACCTGAGGTCTGGAGTTTGAGACCACCCTAGCCAACATGGTGAAATCCTGTCTTTACCAAAAATACAACAATTAGCTGGGCATGGTGGCAGGCACCTGTCATTCCAGCTACTTGGGAGGCTGAGGCAGGAGAATTGCTTGAACCTGGGAGGCAGAGGTTGCAGTGAGCCAAGATCACGTCACTGCACTCCAGCCTGGGCAACAGAGCAAGACTGTCTCAAAAACAACAACAACAAAACAAAAAACCTAAGTCAAAAATGCATTTAATAGACTAACCTACCGAATATCATTACTTAGCCTAGCCTACCTTACATGTGCTCAGAACACTTACATTCACCTACAGATGGGCAAAAACACCTAACACAAAGCCTTTTTAATAAAAGTGTTGAATATCTCACGTAATCTGTTGAATACGGCACTTAAGTATGGTTTCTACTAAATGTGTATTACTTTCGCACCACCATAAAATCAAAAAATTGTTCAGTCAAACCATCATAAGTTAGGAACTGTCTCTGGTGAAAGAACGATTCCATCTGTTCATCTATCCACCCACATACCACTTCAACTTCCATCTATCTACCCTTTAGGAAAAGCTGATGATGAGTGAGGCACCATGATGACCATTTTATAAATGGATGCAGAGAACAGACATAGTATTTGCTCTTTGAGGGCTAGCTAGCAGGCAGATGTATGCACACGCACACACACACACACACACACACACACACACACACACACACAATACAAAGCTGGCCGGGAGCAGTGGCTCACGCCTGTAATCCCAGCACTTTGGGAGGCCACAGTGGGCAGATCATCTGAGGTCGGACCAGTCCGACCAACATGGAGAAACTCCATCTCTACTAAAAATACAAGTTAGCCAGGTGTGGTGGTACGCGCCTATAATCCCAGATATTCAGGAGGTTGAGGCAGGAGAAACACTTGAACCTGGGAGGCAGAGGTTGCGGTGAGCCGAGATCATGGCACTCCAGCCTTGGTAACAAGAGTGAAACTCCATCTCAGAAAAAAAATTAAAAAAAGAAAATCTATGTTTGGCTAAGTGCCCAAAGGTGCTATGAGAAAGAAAAAAGAAGGAACCTATGCACGATTAGGGAATCAGGGCTGTGCAGAGCACACAGGGTGCAGGCAGGTGTGGTAGGCAGAGCTTAGGGGTTGTGACTGAGGGACAAAGTGGCATGAAAGATAAGAAGGGTCAGACCACACCTGCCAGCAACCACTGCTTTGTGTGCACAGTAGGTCGCAGGCAGCAACTTGGAATTGAATTCATCAGTGACATGCAAGTATCAACTTTATTTACAAGATTTATAGAAGGGATGAACGAACTTAAAGTGTCTGCTCCTACACCAATTATAAAAGAGTACTAAAATCAATTATGAAAATGTGGATTTAAATTCCTATTTGTTCTGCATCAGTGAAGATGCTTCTTAAGTGTCTGGGGAAAATCTTGGTATGAGGAGTAAATGCAGCTGAAACGTTTGGGCGATAGAATACCATGCAGCTCCTTAACACTGTTGTTCTGAACATTTCTGACCAGAGAGTGGTGTCAAGATTCACGTTCAGGAGAATGACTTAATGCATATTGTCCTAAAAACAAATCCTTAAAAGCCTGGATTATTTTTTTTCCTAGAGCAAAGTATCTCCTAAGAAGTTTATTTCCCAGGATTAATTTTCTCCTAAAATTACAACATGCGCAACACTTTTGATTAAATGAGGCTCTTTTTGTTGAACTAGAAACTCTTTGAAGGGAGGCGTTATCTCTGAACTTCCCCCACCAGGACCAGTGCCTGGCCCACAGGAGATCCCTAAAATATGTTGGATGAGATGAAAAGAGCCCCAGTTAATCAAGATTTTGCTGAGTCTGGATTAGCACAAACCCCACTCTCAATATAGTGTTGGTCATGTGCTAGCTGTGGGATCACAGGTCTTGAGATGGACTTTCTGGAAAATTAAATAAAATCACGACTTACAAAGAGTACCCATCCTGTTCTGTCCCCAAAATGCAAGAACCATGAATTGTTCACGTAGCTTTTACACTACCACCTTAACTGCCTTCTATCAGAATCTTAACTTGGCATAAAACCACCAACCACTGACACATTTTGTGGTCAAACAGCCCCACAGAGTGACTGCAGAGCCTCTCTGGTCAAGAGCCAACACACAAGATGGCCACCAACAAGGCAAGGTCAGTGGTGTGTGGGTGGAAGAATTGCCACTGACTTCCCACCAAGGTGGACTCAGTCCCAATGGGCAAATTGCAGGCTCTGTTCTTGAGCCACATGTGCTCATTTCCCATCATGGCCACTGGCCTGAGCCACTGCCGGCAGGGTACAGGAGTACAAAAGGAGGAAGTTAACGGCCCCAGCTAACAGGGACCTTCACTTTGAAATTTCTTTGCCAGTAATAAAGGAATGCTGTGAATTAGAGTGGACTGCCAATCTGTTCTTGGTGACAGGACTCTGAAGAAAGCATCCAAGTAGATGACAGTCCTTATCAATGAATTCTCCATCTCTGGGATCCAACTAAAGTGGTAACATTCAATTTTTACATCATGTCCACTGTTTTAAAGAAGCACAGAGGTGGAGAAAACCACTTGAGCAACTAGAATAAAGACTGTGGAGGCTGGGTGCAGTGGCTCACACCTGTAATCCCAGTACTTTGGGAGGCCGAGGCAGGTAAATCACTTGAGGTCAGAAGTTCGAGACAAGCCCGGCCTACGTGGCGAAACCCCTTCTTTACATAAAAAAAAAAAAAAAAAAAAAAAAGCAGATGTGGTGGTGCACACTTGTAATCCCAGCTACTTGGGAGGCCGAGGTGGGAGGATCACTTGAATCTGGGAGGCAGAGGCTCCCAAAGTGGAGTTAGGCAGAGAGGGGAAAAGAAAATCAAGGCCAAGATGGCACCACTGCACTCCAGCCTAGGCAACAGAGTGAGCCTCTGTCTCGGAATGAAAAAACCAAAACTCAGAATGTGGGCTGACAAACATTTCTGCCTGCTGCCCCCAAAGTCTTCTATGAACAGGCCAGAAGTGCAGATGCACACAATGATCTCTCTGCACATGAATCCATCACTTCAAGATGCAAAATGCTCAGGCTTTAGTTGACCATTGGCCGTACAGAAGTATGGTATTGCTACTGCCGGAAGACAAAGGCTTTTGATACACAGTTCACCCACCACTCCCTCTAGGCTTGCCCAGCACTGAGAGAGAAAATATAACTGTAAATTATGCTACAAGAGGGTTTATTTGTTTTTCTTTTAAAAAAATCTTCATTGTTTTTCAAGTTCCAAAAGCAATATGCATTTATTATTTTAAAACAACATGAAATTAAAATTTTATTATTTTAAAACAACTTGAAACTACAATTTCAATTTAGAAATAAAAATTCTAACTAGAAAAAATTCTAACTAACCTCCTAATTATCCTAATCCCATTCCACTTCTAGGTAGTTTTCTCTTTTTTTATCTCTAAATGTGTTGTTTAAAATATGGAACACCTCACAAATTTACACATCATTCTTGCACAGGAGCCATGCTAATCTCTGCACTGTTCCAATTTTAGTATACGTGCTCTCAAAGATAGCTCCAGGAAGCTTTCTGTGTATAGACTAAAGGAAAAAAAAAAGAAACAAAACAAAACAAAACAAAACCAAGTAGTACCTTCTACAAGTTTTTTCTCTGCTTATAAAAAAAGTTTAAAAATTAGATATAATTTCTGCCCATTGGGTTAATTTAAATTTTTTAAAAGTTGGCAAGGGAATCACTCCCATACCATTCATGAAAGTGTAATTTCACAAAGCCTTTTTTTTGGATAATATTTTGGCAGAATTTATTAAAATTTAAAATGCTAGCTGGGCATGGTGGACATGCCTGCAGTTTCAACTACTTGGGAAGCAGAAGTGGGAGGTTTGCTTGAGCACAGGATTTCAAGTCCAGCCTGGGCAACATAGTAAGACCCTGCATCTAAAAAATAAAATAAAATGCACATATACCATCAGACCCAGTAAATCTGCTATGAGGAATCTGTGCTGGAGAAAGACTAGTTTGGACATACAGAGGTGTGTTCAAGGATTTCTTTTTTTTCTTCTTAACATGTCTACCAACATAGGAATGCTTAGGTACATCTCTAATATGGAATACAACGTAGTGGCTAATTAGAATGAGGTAAGCCTATATGTACTGATCTGAAAAGGTCTCTGAGATATCCTATTAAGTGGGGGAAAAAGAAGTTATCAAGTAGGAAAAATAGAATCCTCTTTGTTTTTAAAAATACACAAAATAATACATAGTAGTTGTATATGTATATATTCAAACCAGCCAGGAAGAACACCCACCAAATAGCAGTGAGAATGAAGTGGAACCAGGCAGAGAGGAGAAAAGAAAGTCAAGGAAGAATTTCATTTTACTTGTACTGTTCGAATTTTTTACTTCCATTAGCAAGCACCCCTTTATTAAGTGTAAAAGGAATAGTGAAGTAAATCTTTCATCCAGTTGATGTATTTGAGCGTGGCATGCGGTAGGAATCTAAGTCCTCCTTCCAAACCACCCCTCCCTATATGGTTTGAGTCTATTTAGGAGATCTCCCTTGTGTTCTTTTGATCTATTATCACATCATTATCACTTGCTGTGGCTTTCATAGGATGCTTCAGCATTGTTTTCAAAACTCTTAAATGTATCTTTTAATTTTTTTTTTTTTTTTTTGAGTCGGAGTCTCACTCCGTCACCCAGGCTAGAGTGCAGTGGCGTGATCTTGGCTCACCGCAGCCTCCAATTCCTGGGCTAGTTTTTGTATTTTTAGTGGAGAAGGGGTTTTACCTTGTTGGTCAGGTTGGTCTTGAACTCCTGACCTCAGGTGATCCACCCACCTCAGCCTCCCAAAGTGCTGAGATTACAAGTGTGAGCTACCGTGCCCCAGCCAATTTTTTTAAACTTCTAACTTTTTAATTTATTTAGAATTTATTTTCTTCCCTTCCTCCCTTTCTTTTCCTTTTTTCCTTTGAGACAGGGTCTCATTCTGTCACCCAGGCTGGAGTGCAGTGGTGTGAACATGGCTCACTGCAGCCTCGACCTCCTGGGCTCAAGTGATCCTCCCACCTCAGCTTCCCAGGTAGCTGTGAGTACAGGCACACACCACGATGCCTGGCTAATTTAAAAAAATTTTTTTTGTAGAGACAGGGTCTTGTTATGTTGCTCAGGCTGGTCTTGAACTCCTGGTCTCAAGGATCCTTGTACCTTGGCCTCCCAAAGTGCTAGAATTAGAGGTGTGAGCTACCCCACCTGGCTGGAAATTATTTTCTTCTATGGTATACATTTTCCATATAGCTGATTCTGATCCATAATCTAAACTTGCATTTCTACTAATCTTGGTTACCTACCAAAGAATTAAGATCTTTAAAAATATCACAGTGAGTTGGCAGCTCACCTGTCACCTGCGAGAGAGCCATGCAATGTTCTGGTCATGTTCAGTAATCTGGTGTTAAGATACACATAATACCTAAGAAATAAGTTCTGGCTTCTTAATGTTAGAAATGCTATTAAAATTCACTGAACATAGAAACCATGGAGAATAAACTTTTAACTTTTCATAAGAGTTAGTAGGTACTTTAGGTTCAAATAGGCCCTTAGAGTCGGTGTTTATCTCTCAGCTGAATCTCACAGCACAGTATCTGTTATCAATCGTGCTTTAGGTGTCATATCTAAGCAACCACTGCTTAGTCCTAGGTCATAAAAAATATGTCTTTAATTTCTTCTAAGAGATTTATAATTTCAGCTCTTAGAGGTCTTTGATCAATTTTGAGTTAATTTTTACGTACAGTGTCAGGTAGATTTTATCAACTCAAAAATGTAGGAGTCCAACTTCATTCTTTGCAAGATAACTTGAACATATTAGAATATTAGAGTGGGCCATGGGGCTTGGGAGTGCCAGTCCCTTATTGTAACGGTGATCACGAGGTCAGGAGTTCATCTCGGGCCTGGCCAAGAGACTAGCCTGGTCAATATGGTGAAACCCCATCTCTACTAAAAATACAAAAATTAGCCAGGCATGGTGGTGGGCACCTGTAATCTCAGCTACTTGGGAGGCTGAGGCAGGAGAACTGCTTGAACCCTGGAGGTGGAGATTGCAGTTATCCAAGATCATGCTTGGGCAAAGACAGCAAGACTCCAACTCAAAAAAAAAAAAAACAAAAACAAAAACAAAAAAAACCATACAGACGCTTGGAACTCCTTCCTAGAGATTATGATTTAATTGGCCTGAGGTGGAGTTTGGGTACTGATGTTTTTCGAAAGCTCTCCAGTTGACTCTAATGTGCAGCCAGAGTTGAGAACTGGTGCCCTAGAATTTGAGCTTTTAACAGTCCCTGGTGTTGGTTTAGATATCTGTTATTTTATCCTTTCTCATAAACATGAGACGAACTAAATTTTAAATGGCTCGTGGTTTCTGGCTGTTAGAACTCAGTAGAGCTGGGATTTTATTTTATTGTCTCTTCCACTGTTTTTTTTTTTTAAGATCAGCAGATTGCCATTTTATAGACAGAGAATCTTAAGTGCAAAATGGCTAAGACACACACTGAGGTCACCATTGTGAGCTGGGAGGTGATCGAATTACAGTTTCTTCCTTGGGAACAGAATTAGTTCTTTTTCTAGTTACTCCAGCCTAAACCATCACGGACATTAGGGACACCCGCTCAGCACAGGTGGTAGGACAGACAGCATCCTGGCACTGGCAGAGACAGAAAGGGTGGGTGGAGCCTCAGAGTCTGGGAAAACTATAAACTCTCAAGTCCATCTTCTGATTTGATGAAATGGAACCTCCTCCCTACCTCTCCCTACCCCCCCCACACACAAAAAAAAAACTTTTTTCTGGGGGCCGCGGTGGCTCCGGCCAGTTGTCCTGGCGCTTGAGGAGGCGAGGCCATGAGTTCAAGGCCAACCTGAGCAACATTACAAGCTCTCATTGATTAACAAAAAACAAAAACTTTTTTCTTTACAGGGCTGGGAAGACAAGGTTTATGTCACCTACTTATCTCTGGGAAGCCATCCCAAAGTGCTCACTTCTCTAGACCACTGCTGGTCTCATCTTCTTTTTTATTTTTATTTATTTTTGAGAAAGGGTCTCATTCTGTCACCCAGGCTGGAGTGTAGTATCACAAACAGACCGCTGCAGCCTCAACTGCTTGGGCTCATGCAGTTCTCCTGCCTCAGCCTCCAGAATAGCTGGGACCACAGGCATTTACCACCACACCCAGGCAATTTTTTGTAGAGGCAGGATCTCACTTTGTTGCCCAGGCTTGTCTCAAACTCCTAGGTTCATTTTTATTACTTTCCCAAAAGCTGCTGAAGCCTATGTCAGTCAGGTCTGCATGAGGCTCCCCATTCATTCTGGAGCCCAAAGTTATTTCTGAATGGCAAAGTCAGGGCCAGCGAGGGAGGCTCATTTGTTTAACTTTGGGAGTCTGTCTGGGCCTGAAACCAGCCCTTGCCTATGGAAAATTCTCAGAACAGAGGACCCTCCAGGCCTGAGACCAGAAGTGAGGGAGCCACAGACACTTCTCCCTGGGCTCTGGCTCCGCACCCTCTTTCCTACTTGTCAGCTCAAGGAGCACACAAGAGACAGCGGTGTTTGGGCTTTTATTTTGTTGAATAATTGCTGAATGATTTTCTACATAGTTCCCTGGCTCCCCTATCCCACTTTCTTACTCAGCTGCTTTATAAGCTGAATTCTAATCTGTGTTTCTTCACAATGTCGCCTTTCACTAAAAGCTAATAAAACCCCAAACGGGAAATTCAGAAGTCGCAGCAATACCACATGACTGTAACTGGTTCTTGGTCAACTTGATTTGGTTTTCAAGCCTGTATACCATCTGGGGGCTTCAATCCCCCACCTGACTTTGTAGCAATAAAGGTCTTTGTCTTTCCTAGCACTGAACATAAGTCCTGAACCTTCCTGAGGAGTCCTGCAGACAGCCCCACATGGCCTCAACAGCCCACTGCAGCCCTCTTCTCTGCCACCTCTACTTCCTCACTCAACGTTCTGAGCAGAGGCAGCCAGCACTGCTCACCGAAGTAGTTGCCTGTATGAGGCCACGAGCAGACTCCCTTCTAGAACCCTGCTTTGCACCTGCCACCTGGCCAGGTGAGCCCATCCCTGCTCACCCCACATAACCAGGAGGCTGCTCAGACTCTCACTAGAGGAAACATTTTCAGTAACGAGCAAAATCTCATGCAAATCTCCAGCACAAAAATCAGATTAATCCATAAGAACAAAGGTGTTCTGTTGCATCCTGAAAGGCATGGTTACGGTTGAGAGTTGTCTTCTATCAGCCACATCATCAATTTATTTTTGAATTTTGATTGCAAAGAACCAAAAAAAAAAAATCTTGATTTCCACAGATAAGTGGTAGCAAATGCTAACAGGCTTTTAGTAGACTGCCTTTTCATCTTAGGGTAGCCTTTAGTCAAATCAGTGTTTGTTGGTGTTTCTTTCATCACTGTCCCATAAGGAGCATTAGCAGACATTTTGCCTATTTGTGCAGCCCCACTCCCGAAAACTTTTTTTTTTTTTCCTGAGATAGCTTCACTCTTGTT